CGGATCAGGAATTAAGATGAGTGAGGTGCATGTTGATACGGGGAATGACAGATGATCCGCACGAACGCGTGGGAATCTAGTGAGAGTGAGGCAAATCATCTCTCTATCCAAGTATTATGTTGAATCGTTTGGGTTTTGCACGTGGTATTGCGCTTTTTTCTCAACGCACGCACGTGGCTTCTCGAGCACTCACTCGGAGTGATGGCACGCCGCGTTTGTGTTCGTGTACCGTGGAACATTAAATTACTTTGAGACGCCATCATCATCTATCATCTCCGATATGATATCTGATGATACCGGGCGGGCTGAACGTACATTTATTTCGACCAGGTTGTTGGCGAAACACCACCACCACCGTAGTTTCTCTTGAAAGCTGAACGAGAGCCTTCTTAGTCCGAGGGCTCAGTGCATTGCGGTTTCTTCCTTTGCATTAGTCTTGCAATGTTTACGTTGTTCGTAGAGACTCGCCATGTGTGTCGTACCTATGACGTGTGGAACAGCAGTAGGTTTGGCCTTGCGGAGACACCACAAGAATAATAAGCTCCGCCGACGGGCGTCGGAAAGACCGCACTGCACCCAACTGCACCCTTCAATGATGGATTTAGTTGTACGAAAGATAGCAAGGTGCTCACCACAACATACAAAATTTGTTTGAAATGGAAAGAAAGCAAGGATGCTGATTAGACGACTAGTGATGATGGGGAAAACCAACGAAGCGCTGCGACGCTCCGTCCGTCGTTTAGGTCCATTTTTTTTTTTGTCGCGAACTACGAATGCAATACTGCTTCTTTACACACGTTACACATGACTCATCTCTTATTATTTTCCTACAACATCGATTACTCTCTGTGGACTTCTTCGACTGGAATTTGGAATTTATGTGTAAGAGAGAGAACCTATCTATATTGCTTATTACTTACTACATCACTTTTTTTCCTATCTACATACAGTATCCGCGGATCAATCAATTCCAAGTACAGCGCAGTTCCTCATCCAAACCAAGCAGCAGCAGCGGCACAGACAGACAGAGAGAGAGAGAACCGAACCAAGCACCCCCTTGCGTGCCTCGCGGCTAGAAAGAAAACTAAAACTAGACTAGTAGTCTACAGCAACCTACGTTTTTTCGTGGACAAACTCGCGGAGGAAATCATAATATGAGCCAAAAACCCCGTGAGCTCCACCCATTTATGCATCTCATAATAATCATCTTCGCTATTTCTGTCTATGTGTGTGGGGGGGGAATCGACCTGACGCGGGCGGGGGGCCATATGGTTAGTAGCATCTCCCATGCACAGGCTAGATACATCGGGGGGAACTACGTGCAGAAACAACGTGGGCCAAGAAGCTACCCGTCTCCCCGCCTCCTTCGGACCATATTGTTCTAGGTTTCTGGATCGCTACAAAATTCGCGAACTTGCGAAAAATATTTGTTGCGGCTCCAATCTCCCCTTGGCGAAGCGTGCGCGGTTATTCTTGCTTGGTTGATGCTCGATGATGATGACGGGCGAGAGAAAACTCCTTTGATCATGCGGGATTCGGAGAATGGCTGACGTGAGCTCGGGGATTTGTACCACCTACCTCTGGAACCCACCCAATAACCTTATTTCCTACAGCGCGGTCACGTGGCAACAAAGTAGACTACTACTGGAAAACGATGCGCACGAACAGATTCATTCGTCCGATCGTATTTCAACGCCAACGCCCAGCGCGGCTGGTTATCTCTACAATCCCTGCGTGCAACGCGGCGTCTAGACTAGAACAACAAGCGCCCTCCGGCGGGCGTCCACATGCGTGCATGATCAACGGGACCGGATCAACGGCAGACCACATTTCATGATGATGCAGAACAACAACAACAACAACAACACTCTCTCTCTCTCTGAATCAGATCTCCTCTCTCCTTTCAGTTCCTTTCTGCGCACCCCCACACAGCTAACGGACTCGCGGGTCTGTTTTTTTTTTTTCTTCGCACCACAACCGCTCTCTCTCCTCTTCCAGACACCAACACCACAACGGTTTACTCTTCCATTCCCTGCCATCCACCCTGTACCTGTGAACTTCTCTTTTTCCTTTCGAATCTGAGAGAGTTTGAAAAGGGGAGGTAGATCGCAGCAGTAGCAGCAGAAGAGGTGAGTGCGCGTTCGGTCGAGGCGGAGCGGTGGCAGCCTGCGCCCGCGCGGCGCGCCCGGCCCGTGTTTTCGATTCCCGCCTGCTGTTTGTTCGATTAATTCCGTCTCGCTCGTCAGGCAGGGTCCTTCTGGTTTGAATAGGGGAGGCAGATCGTAGCAGCAGTAGCAGCAGAAGAGGAGAGTGCGCGTTCGGTCGAGGCGGAGCGGCGGCAGCCTGCGCCGGCGCTGCGCGCCTGGCCTGTGTTTCGATTCCCGCCCTTGTGTTTCTCGATTAATTCCGTCTCGCTCGCGAGGCACGGCGGTGTTTGTGGTTTGAAAATGCTGCACGTTTAGGTTGCTTGTTTTGTTGGTTTGGGGAGAGGCGACGAGAAAGAGGCAGAAGGCCTCGCGGGCGTGACGACCACCCTAGCCACGACGGGAGGATTTGTCGGCTAGCCGGCGCTACAGCGGGAGCCCCGTTCCGTTTGCCATCCCGAACAGAGCAGTTAGTTGGGGCTTTCCTGAGCATGGCCAAGTAGATGTCAAAGGTTCGGGATCTGGCTCTAGAAAAGGCGACGTCAAATAAATACGGATCCAAATGCCTTCGGGGAATCCGCAGTTGTAGGAAGGCGCAGCAGCAAACTGTCCCCAACGGCAGCTGCAGTCGGGCGTCCGCCAAACATACGCAGGGCGAACCGTTCCTCTCCCCCCCTCGCGCTACCCCTCATTTATTTTTTTGCCGCTCTCCCCGTTTCTCCTGCTCCTGCCCCAATTTTTCTCTTCCTTTTTCGCCCCCCCCCCCGTATCACGCCACACCCTGGCGTGCGATCATCGATCGAAAGGAAGGCACGCCATCATCACAACAAAACAGAGCGCGCCAACCTTCCCCCCCTACCATGTCTCCCAAGTCTGCCCCCCGCTGCTCGGTCTCGGCCTTGGCCGTGGCCATGATGGTGATGAACGCCTCTGCGGCGTCTGTTGACATGGGACGCGTCGCGAACGGAGCGGACGCGGAGGAGAGGTACTCCGCTGTGGACAAGGCGATCACGTGGGGCTACAACGGTGGCCGCGCGTTGCAGGGTGAGTCGAACCTAAAAATACGATGGAAGAAATATAGAATCATCATACAAGCAAGCTGCTGCTGCATCGTGCGGCATGCGGAGGAGAGAGCGTAGAGGCAGCAGCAGCAGCATGAGCTGCCCAGCGCGGTAGAGACCGGGAGTGTGGGCGGTGAGCCGCTGCATGCGTGTTTCCCGGTGCATGTACAAGTCGGGGGTTGTGTGTGTGTTTGGCTCTATTTTTTAGTGATCTTTTTCGTTCGTTCTTCGCATATGTGTGTTCCATCTGTGCGCTGGTGGACGGAAAGACACCGGTCGTTTTAGCCACATCCCCCCCCCCGGTCGAACAACAACCGCTGTATTTCACGCGCGGTCTTGGGCACCGCGAAGGAAAGGAAACGGGGTGGGGGTTGGAGGGGTAGGACATGGAACAAGAACCTGTTGTGCCCACGAAGAGGAAAATCATCCAAAAACTGATGTTGCGAACAAAGGCACCATGCGGCAGCTGATGTCCGCGTTGATTTTTTCGGATCTTGGCGGGCAAGTTCTTTACTTGTTGCAAGCTGTTGCAACACGCCGACAGAGGGTTTTGAATCACCTCGCTCCGCCGGGGGTCAGCGTCGAACCCCCAGCTTGCTAGGCTTTGTTTTCGTTGTCGGGGGGGCTGGGCGCTTGCGGGGAGAGTTGAGTTGATCATGATGCCCGGGGGCGCGGTCGGCGCATACACCTTTCATTTTTAGGCCTTTTTTTTAGGTTCGGTATTCCCGTTCAGGCCACGTTTCGTGATTTTTTTCCGTCTTTGAATCGGGGTTGTGTCAGCAAAGGCTGCGATAATCCTGTACCCATCGGCTTCCTTTGTTGGACATTGCGCCACAAGGCGCTAAACCTAAAAAACCAAGAATCACGATGCCGCTGTAAAATTCGGGCAGAGTTTCGGTGGTTTCCTCCAGGAATTAGAAAACCTCTGTGTGAGTCGAACTGCTGTCCGTCCTTGCTTCGTGAAAAGGATGCTTTTCCCACTTTAGGCCAAATTGCTGCTGTTGCTGATCGTTGGGCGGAAGAAGATTTTGAATACACTTCCATATTTTGTTGTTGCCAACCCACAAGGTTTTCTCTGTCCTCTCACACTTCGCCGCTCCTCCTATCCATGTTCTCATAACGGCGACGGGATCAGTCTTTGTTGTGGTGTGGTGCTGATGCGTGAAACAAGCAAGCAGCCGCGTTTCTTGTGTCCAGAGTCGCGCGAACGATGTTGTCGTGTTCTGCGTCACTCCCGTCGCTTCGTCTAGATTATTATATATACCCCTTTCCGTGATTGTTTCGTGCGATATGGTAAAAACAATTCGGAGGGTGGTCAAAATCTCTTTCGGTTTGTACGTAACATTTCCCCACAGCAGAACAGCAGTGCGGTTTGAGAACAGATGTTCGCGCTACTTTTGTGTACAGCTGTACACACGAAGACGACTCATACGACAGACGAGTGGAGAGTGTGAAACGATATTGTGAGGTGATCGAAACTCGATGACTGCACTAATTCCATGTAGCTGCTGTTGTTTGCCCGAAGGAAAGCCGCGTAGCAGGGCGTCGTTTGATGAAAACACACGATTTCTTTTTTTCTTGTCAAATCGGCGCTCGCAGCACTTGCGCCTTTTTTCTCCCGACCCCCGTGGTCACGCAGAAGAGTTTCTCTCCCTCCGGCGGGTACTTGGCCTCCGATTTTTAACGCGACAAAATGCAGCATTGCAGCATTCATTCGGACTAACCAAGTGTCTTTTTTGGTACTTTTGAGGAGCACATGCGGGGGGGTGCGTGACGCCTGTTCTGTACTGCTGTGTTCCAGGGGAATCGCGGGTCACCCGTTAAAAAAAATATGGGATACATGATTATATCTACGATTAGAATATCCAGCGCTTCCAACGTGTGGGAGATCAGTTGGCACACGTCCGCCCGATATTGTACAAACAAAAAAAACTCACCTGCAGCAGTAAGTGTCTCGGTAAATTGTTCGAAACGGGCGGCAGCCGCAGACACGGAACCTGTACAACACATCCGTATCAAACTCAGAAAGCGTCAAGAGCGCGAGGGTTATTTCCCAGCGTGCTGGAGTGCGAACACCAGTTTGTTGCGGCAGCGCAGGAAGCTACGGATCGAGATGGAGCTACATGTACTGAAGATACTACCACCGTTTTCTTGTCAATATTTTCGACATGCATGTGACCTTCAAGAAATATTATTCCTTAACCGAAATATAAATAACTTGGAAGTTTGGGAATTCGGCGTCGTAAGCTAGAACCGAGCCGTCTTTCTGGCTGATTTCACTACAGGGTATACCACCAGTTGTCAAAGGGGCTGGAGTAACACAACTTGAAGAAGCTAGCGCTTCGATTTTTCCCTCATGCGACTTTTCCCCGTCCTCTCTCTCGTTCTCCCAACCCGGCCGATCGGTACAGCCGGCTGGTGCAGCGTGGTGTCGGACAGCGACACGTACTGCTGCGGGTTTGGCGCCCAGGCCTCGTGCATAGCCCGCGGCCTGGACTACGACGGGCCCAGTACCCCTTGCGAGGTGCGGCTGGTCACTTCGGATGACGGCACGACTACGTGCGAGGGACTCGAGGGAGAGAGCGGCAACCTCGATGTCGACTGCGATTGCGAAGGTGCGTGTGTGGTTGATTTTCTTTGTTCCTTGTGGGGTTCCAAGCGAAGAGAGATTATGATTACTGTGATTTTTGGGTGCTGCCGTGTGAATGAACGCTGGGCGCGGGTAGATAGGCGTCCGTCTTCAGTGCTTCGTATCCCGTCGTACAACTAGCTTGCTTGATTGCCTATCGTTCGCCGACCATGGTTGTGTGCCGTTTCTCTCTCGTCGTGTGGCATGTTTTAAAAATAGCAACCTGTTTCGAGCTCCCGTTCTTACCCAGCCCCCTCCCCCTCCCCGCCCGTTTTTGCCGCCCTCTTGCTCTCGCGTGGAAATCGCCCGAAAACACAGACCTCACCTTGTTCACGGAGGCGCCCGCCACCGACGCCCCTTCCCCCACCCCGACCCCGACCGCCGCTGCCCCGACCGAGGAGGGCATGACCGCGCCCCCCACCGAAGAGGGCGCGACCCAGCCCCCTACTGTGGAGGGTGCCACCCAACCTCCAACTGAGGAGGGCGCGACCCAACCCCCTACTGAGGAGGGTGCCACCCAACCTCCTACCGAGGAGGGCGCGACCCCGACCCCTACCGAGGAGGGCGCCACCGCGGCGCCTGTCGATGCGGTGGTATCGCCCTCCCCGACGCCCGGTAGCCGCGGCGGCAGCTTTACGATGGCGCCGCTCGCGGAGGGGGAGACCAGGGCCCCGGCGATGACCCCCAGCCCTAGCGAGATGACCGATGCGGCTACGCTTGCCCCTCTCGACGAGGGCATGACCAGGGCTCCGAGCATGACCCCCACCGAGGGAGCCGCCACGATGGCTCCGCTCGCGGAGGGGGAGACCATGGCCCCTGCGGCGACCATGACCCCCGGGGAGACCATGGCCCCTGGAGCGACCATGGCCCCCGGAACGACCATGGCGCCCGGAGCGACCATGACCCCCGGAATGACCATGGCGCCCGGAGCGACCATGACCCCCGGAGCGACCCTGGCCCCCGGAGCAACCCTTGCCCCCGGAGCGACCATGACCCCCGGAGCAACCTCGGCCCCCGGAGCAACCTCGGCCCCCGGCGCGACCATGACCCCCGAGGAGACCATGGCCCCCGGATCGACCATGGCCCCCGGAGCGATCATTGTTCCCGGAACGACTATGGCCCCCGGGGCGACCCCGGCGCCGACCAGCAGCAGCCGCGCCATCAGCTTCACGGCCAGCCCCACCAGCACTACGTCCGCTGCGCCGACCTCCTCCACTGTGGCCCCGTCGGGTGAGTAACCGTTGCGTTCAGCCTGGAGGTTGCTGTCTCTTTTCCAATTTGTGTTTCATTGTCCTTGCGTGGAGGGTCCCAAAGCTTGTACGTTTTCGAGGGTGTTGCCACATTCACCCCACTTCAATCCGTATGCAAGTTTTTCTGTGCCCACGAATCGTATGGCATCAACATTCCCCCCTTCGAGCGATTGTTTAGGCGATTGGTCATGAGTGGCGGTAATTTACTCTAGCGAAATAATCTCGTACAAATCGATCTTGAACCTCCCCCCCCCCTCCTTGTCCAACAGGCGCCCCCACCATGATGACCGCCACGCCTACCGCGTCCCCGACGATGGACACGAGCTCCCCTAGCACGGCCCCGACCATGATGCCCACCGCTATGCCGTCGGCGGGTTCCCGCGGCGGCCTCGACATCTCTTCCGCCGCGCCCTCCACGGCCCCGACGGGCATGCCGACCAGCCTCTTGGAGAGGACGATCTCCCCAGAGTTGATCGAGGAGGCCAGCGGGTCGTCCCGACCGTCGGCTTCCGTGTTCGCGGCGGTGACGTGCGTGCTTGCCGTGGCCGTCGCCCGCGTCTTGGCATAAGCGGCTCTCCACCGCAAGCATCGATTGATCGAGAGAAGGCGGGAACGAAAACTGGGAAAGGAACCAAAAGCTTTTTTGATCGGCGAGCGTGTTGGAAGCAGAAATGGTTGGTTGGCATGTTACCCCCCCCCCCCCCCCCCCCCCCCCCCCCCCCCGCCCTCCCCCCCCCCCTCCTTTTTTTTTTTTTT